TGTATGATCTAGCGGACAACCTTTCTGTGTTACTAGAGTAAGGAGGTTTTACTGTACAGTGTATACAGTAATACTGTATGATCTAGCGGACAACCTTTCTGTGTTACTAGAGTAAGGAGGTTTTACTGTATACAGTTATACTGTATAATCTAGTGGACAACCTTTCTGTGTTACAGGTGTCAACATTAAGATTTGCCACCAGGATGATGTGTGTAGCAAGTGAACCTGCCGTTAATGCCGTGTACGACCCAGCGGTAAGTTTAATTAAATCGTAAGATCAACTATCACAATAGTTTCCCAACAATAAGCCAGCATCAGGCAATACACCCATCCTTATTTATTGCAGTTCGATATGAATGCTGTGTCATGGTCTTGTAATAAACCTGTCTGCTACGCTTTAGTAGGACATTATATGTTGGCTCCCGGGGCTTATTGAAGGATAAGTATGGTAATACAACAGATGACCATGCAGTATCCTGTATTATTACACAAATATCATTTCTGTGTTTCATTCAATGTTATATCTGTAAACAGCTATATGATAACTAATTAGCTAGGTATAATAATATTTTAAACTGAATCAAGCATGTTCACAAAACTTCCGTTTCCAAAGAGACTAAAATCAAGGATCTTAATGTTAATTAGTGACAATTTCTTATTACAAATGTGTTCATGAATTTCTTTATTTTTTCAGGTGTTGGTGAAGAAGCTAGAGAAGGAAATACAACACCTGAAGAATGAGTTAGCAATGCATGACACTCTCGTAAGTACTCACAAGTATTGATGTGTAAAAGCGTTAACCAAGATTCAGGAAGTGTAGGATTAATACAGTCTTTCCTCTTCTTTGAGCTTGGATAGCAGGTAGTATCTCCATGCCCAGGGAAGAGATTAATGTTTTATATGATGCAGACTTTTTTGTTTAATTTTTTGAAATCCTGGATGATAATTGTACACATGCGATGATGAATGTGTCTTAACACTTTCCTAATTGGTGTGTGAGAGTGTGGATGAATGTGTCTTTACACTTTCCTAATTGGTGTGTGAGAGTGTGGATAAGGAATGTGTCTCTACACCGTCCTAATTGGTGGGTGAGAGTGTGGATGAGGAATGTGTCTCTACACTTTGCTGATTGGTGTGTGAGAGTGTGGATGAGGAATGTGTCTCGACACTTTGCTGATTGGTGTGTGAGAGCGTGGATGAGGAATGTGTCTCTACACCTTCCTAACTGGTGTGTGAGAGTGTGGATGGAAATGTGTCTCTACACTTTGCTGATTGGTGTGTGAGAGAGTGGATGTGGAATGTGTCTCTACACTTTCCTAATTGGTGTGTGAGAGTGTGGATGAGGAATGTGTCTCTACACTTTGCTAATTGGTGTTTGAGAGTGTGGATGAGGAATGTGTCTCTACACTTTCCTAACTGGTGTGTGAGAGTGTGGATGGAAATGTGTCTCTACACTTTGCTGATTGGTGTTTGAGAGTGTGGATGAGGAATGTGTCTCTACACTTTGCTGATTGGTGTGTGAAAGTTTAACTTTATAAATATTGTTTATATAAACTATGAACAACTTGGCGCCCATCCAATTTGATGATAATGCTTAACCCTAAAAAAAAAGGAAAAGGTTAAAGCAATAAATATGAATGACTTATAGATGTTAAGGGAGATAAATCACCTAATTTAATAGCGCTTTCATTAAATTTTGAAACCATCAGACAAACCGGACCCAGATCACATATGAGCCACTGTCAGAACAACAAACGTATGAGATTCGGCAGCAAGTCAGACGCTACTTGGAGGGTTCTCTGGAGGATATCGATGTGAGTAACTAATTGTCAACTATTATTACTTTAAAACAGGACATTTTACATTTGTGTTGTACTTTTTCTGCTCTTGAATAAGCAGGCAAATTCACAGAGATAACATCTTGAAGATATTTATTTACAGGAAGAAAATTCACAACTTAAAAAAGATAAATTTTATAAAGATCAAATGGTTAAACCTCAAAAGGACTCTTTAATATGGTTTGTCTTAATTAAGATAACACCTATCTTGACTGAATCAAAACTTTATTCATTCATATTTTTTTTCAGATCATAAACATCAGACAAATACATGGAACATTTGAAGGATTCAAAGACATATATCTGTAAGTTACAGTTGTGCTTCTATTAATTAGTTACATTTAACAAATACAAATTCAACCTTCATGAAATACGATTCATTAAGACTCGTATAACAGAAGAACAAAGTACGAGTTTTGACAATGTCTGACCTCAGAAAGGGTTCCATTATCTCCTACACGTAGGGGACCTGTAATACTGAGGGAGGCTCTCCGTAAAGGTTTTCACTCCATCCGTCAGTAGTCAGTCAGCCCATCAGTCCGTCTCTTCGTCCAGAGAAAATCTCATAAAATATTCTGTCGCCTACAATTGTGATTTTTTTTGTCAGCATTTCACCTTCCATTTTCTACAATATATAATTCTGAGTAATTTGTATAATTTCGTATTCATCACTGATTGTAAATTCAAGTATCAAGCCAACCAACTGTAGTTTAATTAATGCATAAAAAAGTTAAATAATGTTAGTTTGTTACCACAAATATTTACAGAAACAGTAGTTCACAAAAAAAGTCTGTATGGAGTACATGTGAACCAATCTTAAAAGTATTCCTGAAGTTTCTTTTGTTCATTTCAAATACTGCAGAGGCAGTTTTTTCGTGAGACCCTAAATTTTTACAATTTTCTTTGTAACAATTTGACAACAGCACCTGCAGAAAGTGATGTCACAATAATCCATCCTTATTGCAGCACTTTCTGCCATCGGCACTAAAGACCTGAAACATGTGATAGATAGATCATGTGGCATCAATAATGTTTGAAAATCTGCAAATATTAGGACAGTGACTGAGTGAGAAACAAAAGAGACTTTTGTTAACTGTCACCGTTATTCAGATTGATGTATTATACTGGAGTTTCTGTAGAGGTTAAGTGAGCGTAAACCCCTGGAGTATCGAGGATGTAGAATGGTATCATCACCTCTTGTGTGTTTCAGACAAATGGAGAGGGATGTGGAGGAGAGACTGAGACAGAAGTTTACGCTGATAGATAGAACCGACCCTGCTGCTATAGCCGCAGCTCAACAGGTAAGGGACAGACAAGGATAGGGGCAGGGAGAGGAGCTGGGGGTGGGGAGAGGTGCTGGGGGTGG